CCCGCCCCGCACACACAAGGAAACGCACCGCGGCTGGCCGGGAGCGGGAGCCCCAGAGGCGCCGGGGCGCAGCTTGCAGCGACGCCAACTCTCCCCCACCAGCAGCGGGGCACTGCTGCCCCCACACACGTGAGGCGCCTCCAGGGCCCTTTCCAAGCGCCGCCCGGCGGGGAGGCCAGGAGACGCGCGTGGGGTGGGGTCCAAGGGAAGGAGGCGGCGCAGAGTCTCATGCAGCCAGGGGGTCTTAAATAATGGGGCGTGGGGGAGGAGGGAGGCCAGGGCAGAAGAGCTGGGACGGTCTGGCTCTGAGTGGCCCTTGCTGGTTGGGGGAGAGGGGAGGTGTGACCCGTGTGAAATCCGCCTTGTTTACTTAAGCGCTTGCTTTCTCCCCTAGGAGCCGCTTACAGGGCCGGGGTTGAAATTTTGACTGGGAATCCAGCGGAATCTCTCTCTCGTATCTGCTGGGCCCGGTGAGGAAATTAAAGAGCAGAAACATGTAAAGGGCCTGTCCCAGATCTCGAGCAGCACGAGGCACAGCTGAGAAGCAGGGCAAGCGAGTGTGGGGCCACAGCTAAGGATTCAGGCACAGTGTAAGCTTGCCAGAGCCACAGCGCTAAGACGTCACAGGGTCACACGTCATTTGACTAAACTTACTTTAAGCACTCTGCATAATTTTAATGGAATAATGCAAACTTCTCATAATTAGAAATCATTGAAATCTCATGCATTGGCTACATTAGAAGAAAGTATGGGTCTTTTTTGGGGGGGAGGCTGTCACTTTAAAACAGTTTCTCTTTCCCCAGAGAATCCCACAAATGGCCCAAATTACCTGCAGTTTCTTTTTGTTTTCAATGAAAGCAAGGCCAGAAGTACTTTCAGGAGAGACAATGGCCTGCTTTAAAAATGACACAGCCTTCCTTTGAGAAAACTGGGCATGTAGCCATGCTGTCTTCAGGGAAGATGGTGGTTCCCCAGTTGCAGGTATACAACCTTAACTCCTCCCTTCACCAGGGAGGGGGGTAGGAGAGACTGGAGGGGAAGACTTCTAAAATCAGTTACATCTAAGCTAAAACTACAAACTTCTATACATTAATCATAAGTGTCTGGGTGTTTCATGGTGTTCCCACTCAGCAGAGACAAGGTTGTTTAGGTACAATAACCCATGATTTAATATGTAGGGACTCCTTTTAAAGTTAATCTTACATTTCAATTTCCTGACTGTATAACATTTATTGGGGAGGATAATGTACTCCTACTTGTCTCCATATTAAAAGTTTGAGGGTTTTGGAGGGTGGTGACAGAAGTAGGTGGATAGATCTAGGAACAAAATCTAGGTTGAAGCACAAACTGTAGAGAGAATTTTAAGGTGACCCAGGACTATGTGTTTTTAGAGACTAACAAATATATATAGGATAATGAGATTTCATGGGCAAAACCTACTTCTTCAGATAAGATGAAGATGTAGAGATAATTATAATCCTTCCTTTAAAATAGGGACGTAAGTGAATAGTTGACTACTTGATTATCAGGTAGTCAAGTAAAGTACTTGCACCCTCCCCCCCCCCCCACCACACTGCTGCATCTGTCTGAGAGGCAGCAAGTTGGGGAGGAGGGAGAATAGGAGCCAGTTCTGGGGAGCAGGGTTAAAAGCCTGTTCCCCCTCAGCACCTTCGTGGTGCTGCCTCCATCAGTGGGGGGTAGGTGGGTGATAGGGGAAACTACTGCCAAGGGAGGCAGGCCATAGCCACAGCCAGCCCTGGCCACCATGAACAGGGGCTGCTGGACTTGGCATGAGCCGGAACCCAAGGAGTCCCAGCTCAGGCTGGTCCAGAGTGCTGCAGCTCTGCATTTTTAATTTAGTAGAGCCCAGTGGCTCTTACTACATTTAAAATGCAGAGCTGCAGCGCATGGCTCATGGAGTTGGTGGGAGCCGGGGACTGCTTAGTCCCATCCCCAGCTGGGTCTGGGAGCTACCCCCGCTGTGGCACTGCAGAGCGCCCCTTATCGACTAATTGGATCGACTACACAATTAGCCAGATAGCTGCAATTTAACATCCTTACTTTAAAGTGCATCACATTCACTTGTGCTCTGTCCTTAAACATACCTAACAGGCTAAATTTGCTCTCAGATATACATGGTTCCTAGTAAGTAGGAACCACACATTCACACAATGCAGACCTAAGTAGGTAGGTGGGCATTTCCTGTGCTTAATGTCCTACACAAAAAGACACCAGAACAGGAATCTTAAAATATGCTTTATATAAGAATGCAGGAGAATACTGTACATGGTTCTTGTAATCAGGTTAGGAGAGAAGAAAAATCTATTTTAATACCTGTGGTGTTGAACACAGATAAGTCAAAGTTACTTGGCAATGGAAAAGTACAAAGGAATACTTACTACTTTTTCATGAAACTACACTTCACTCGTGGACTCAGGACTGCTTGCCTCCCCAGCACACGCTATACTACTTGATCACCTTTACTGAAATCTTAACTAGCCACAGGGGTGATGGTGTTGTGCAAAGGCTGGTCAATGAGTAATTAGAACTATAAACTGGATTGGTTTTATCTCTCTAGCTCAGAAGATTATTTCAGCAAGAAGAAACACATGACAGAAACAAGATGTCTCATGCTGAGAGGCCTCACCATGATAACCAGTACCAATATCATGACAGCCACAGATCTGACAGACACCAGGAGGAGAGAAGGGCTAAAAAGCCACACCCATCCAATGGAAGGTGCGTCATCTCTTTGTCCCTTACTATGGGATGCAGAGCTTGTTTGTAAGAACCATAATCTGAATGTAAAACAGTGTCAGTGAAGGCATGTTCAGCCATGAAGTTCAGAAACTTAAATATGCCACATTCAGAATCGTGGTAGAATAATTTAATTAGTGAAAGTTTTAAAGGAAGCCTGTAATTAAACATTATTTGTAATAAAAAATTACATGTGGGCTGGGAGTAAGGGATGGAGGTGAGAGTGAGACATGGAGGTGGAGAAGGAAGTGGGAGGGGAAGGGAGAGATGTGGATGGGTCATAAGAGGGGTTGGTTATGTCCCCATCTCTCCAGAAGTGATATTTGGTGCATGCTTCTGTACGTTCATAGTTGCACTGGTTTAAACAGATCCTAAGGCTCAGTGAAGGCTTATTTCAACTAGGAATAGGTTTATAAGCTAAATCAGAATAAATTGGTGCAAACACATATGGTCATTCTTTAGTAGACCAGTGTTAGTTTGTAAGTAAGGCCTCAGTGTCTGGGATAAATGTGATGCATTATGTGAAGTAGCTAATGGAGAAGTTTGGGGTAGCCTCAGAAACTGGCATGTATTTTGCTCTCCCTGTCCAGACTAGATCACACTGGAATGCATCCTGGCTTGTTTTAATGCATTTAAGAGAGGAGACAACAACGAATTCTCAGAACCATTAATAAAATAAGAGAAAAGTAAAGGGGAGCAGGATGAATTTAATTGATTTAAAAAAAAAGGCAGAAATACTGACATCCTTAAAAATCTATATTTAACAGGAAGGAAAAAAAGATATTCAAAGACAACCTACATAACTAGTGATAAAGGGAAAAGTAGAGAATACAGGGAAATATAAAGATAATCATCTGGTCCAGCTGATGTGAATTTTAGAAAATTAAAAAAAATTGCCAGTGAACTTGCTGTATCATTGACAATTTATGAAAGGATATGGAAAATTGGGAAGGAAACAGTTTTCAGCTGAAAACTAAAGTGTTTTGATGCACTGAAATGTCATTTTGTATCATGGGAGTTGTAGTTTTGATGCTGAATGAGCCCAGTCTTCAATATGGGTTTCTCTTTCTGGCCAGAGTATATTTCCCATGATGTCCCATGGCCATAGATTCTGATCAACACACCACCTCGCCTCATCAAGCTGGGAGAAAGTGTTGCATCATTGGAAATGTAATCCAGACTGAGAATCCAGTCCACAGAGAAGAATGGGAGTACAGTAACTGTGAAAAGAACTGCTAGAAAATTTCAAAAAGACCATATTTTCTTTGGAACTTTAACACACTGTTTTTCTGAACATCAGCATTCCTGGCAAGTAGCACACTACAATAGGGAGAAGCAGCTGCACCAGAAGTATCAAAGGGATTCCTTTCATGTTAGCTGACAGATTTTATAAATCACAGTTTAGTTTGTCAGGCACCTGCCTGAGACCCAGGACAAAAACCAGAAAACTTAGGAATGTCTCAGCCAAAATATAGCTGATGGCAGCAATAATCTGCAGATAAATTAGGTTTGTCTGATTTAGGATTTAGATTAAAGTTAAAGAAGAATGAGAGAAAAAGAAATCTCAATTCTCTACCCAGTGAGGATGCTTTTGCTTACACATTAACTGATATTTGTGGATTATGTTAAATTGATGGAATTGTAGGAAGACAGAACTGCAAAAAAACGTAGAGATCAGAAAATAAAAAATAATTTGAGGAAAAAGGCAGGCTAATAGACCTGAGCATAAGTAATCTCAGACAGATGTTCAGTTGGAAGGAGAAATTTTAAAGCAACAATACTAGAGTAAATTTAATAGTACAGTAATAAGACAACAAATTAGACATGTTCTGTTCTATACATTTTCTTGTTCTATCCTCATAACCGTAGAAGTGGAGCGCACTGGAATCTGTAACATCTGTCACATGCTATTCATTCTCTCATCCTCCCTGAGGGAGAACTTTGTTTTAGTTGTAGGTCAGTGTTGTATTTTGGTTTGATAGGGCTTTTATGTTCACACATCACATCTGTATATTAGAGAATGTGGGTCAGAGAAGAATGTTTTGCATTTGGAACAGAAAGTGAGAGGCCTGTGATGATTGTTCGTTCCTGGAGTGATTTGTTTTGCAGGTTTCAAACCTGCCCCCAAGAAAGCACTCTCCTACAAAGATGCATTCTCCACCCCCGTGCCCTGTGATAGAAAGATCTGTTGTAACTAAGTTGTTGACCACAGACCTCATACCAGAGCTCCAGGCAATTTTTTGTAGTTTTCTTGGGCCCAAGCCATTTTGATCCTTGCAGATAAAGAGCTAAGACCTGGAAGTTAACTTGCTATTCTCTAGGAATAGTAGCAGACATGTGTGATACTAAGAACATATGTTACTGTTACAGACTATTGTAGTACATCTCAGTACTAGCTGGACCAAACTAAATACTGATGGTTTCATGCCCCAGCATACTGCATTGCTGTAGTCCTGAATAAATGAAGGCATGCATAACTGAAGTTAGGTCATTGTTTGCCAAGATGGGATATAGTCTCCTAGTCCATTACAAATGGCAGAAAATCTGTATTCATAGTGGAGTTGACATTATGATATAGCAACAAAATGGCTAATGCAAATTCAAGCTGAAAGGCAGTAATCTTATACATTGATGCTGGTGCTACTGCAGCTGGAATATTGTGTTAATTGCTGTAGTACTTTCTTCCAGTTTCAGAATGTTTCTTATGTCGGAGTTCAGAGAAAGGGGAAGCAACTGGGGCTAAGTCTATACTGCCACTTTACTGTGCTGCAACTTTCTGGCTGCAGGGTGTGAAAAGATTACAGGGAGTCTTCCTGAGGCCTGGTGCACCACTGACTGGCCTTTTAGGGTATGTCTACACAGCAGCGATATTTCGGAATAACTAACGTTATTCCGAAATAACAAAAGGGGCTTGTAGTGTAGCTCATTTTGGAACAGTGTCAAGCTGGAGGACTTCTTACTCCAACTCCTGTAACCCTCATCATGAGGAATCAGCGAAGTCGAAGGAAGAGTGTCCTTCCTTCGACTTCCTGCTGTGTAGACAGCGCCAAAAGCCGAAATAAGTTATTTTGCCTTAAGTTATGCAGTTGACGTAGCTGAAGTTGTATATCTTATTCCAACTTTAGCCCTTCTGTGTAGATAGATGTACCCTTAAAGACCAGTTTAGTAATGCTGACCAGAGCTGCCAGGCTGCAT